AAAAAAAAAACCAGTGAATTATTTCATGACAAACGGTTTGTCCATTAACCAGTTCTCTGTTTCTCTGGCTATAGCGCAGGTTAATGGGCAGATCAGCGAGCACAGGTGTTAGTAATGTTTCTGTAGAGGCACGATGGTTCTTAACCAGGTCAACCTCACTGTGACAGCAAGTCTTAGGAAAGTCACCGCACCTGGCTGCTCGCCAACAAATGGCTCCAACTTCCCCAAAACCACAAATTGTCGTTTTTACATTTCTGTTTGCTTAGAAATGAGACATTCAATGTATTGATTAGTGAGCTTTAGAGGTGTTGGTCTTTATGCTAAGCTAGGCTAACCAAGTCCTGACTCCAGCCCTATACTTAACACACAGATATGAAATTGATATTCATCTTCTCATCTCACTCTCAGAAAGTAAACAAATATGCATACTTCCCAAAATGTTGAACTATTTCTTTGATATGTTTTGACAAATTTCATTGGAAAATATTTACAAAAATATGAAGGCGTGGTGCCCCCATCTATTTTAACTGTGGTAGAGAAAGTAACTACCAGTCCAAGCAGAGTTGGGGACTTACGTCCAGTTGGCTCCTTTGGGGCCAAACATGGGCCTGACGCTCCACCCAGAGCCGAACATGTTGAGTGACTTGGAGAAGCAGTCGTTGTAAATGATTCCAGTGTACATGGAGAAGAGCCCCATCAGCAGGATGATGTAGCGACCAGCAAACACCATGTTGAAGATCTACAGACACACACACACAACTCAGAGATATCGTATGTGTCTATAGTGCGAGGCTGAACTGTAAAGCTTCTCATTACTCTGTTACTGGTTTTTGTCTCACTGTACCTCGTTGTCACTCTTCTGGGCGACGAGGCGACTCTCTCGGATGACCAGGTAGAGGGCAGCACAGGTCATCAGCGCGCCGTGACCCATGTCGCCAAACATCACCGCAAACAGGAAGGGGAAAGTGATGATGGTGTACGGAGCTGTAACAGGAAAAATCACATTATCTTCATCACAGAAAATGACTGAAATATGAAATGCATTTACAATACATTTACCACTTATGATTTATTATAAACAGGTATTTGTGTCTGCACAATCTGTGGAAGGAAAGTGAGAGAGAATTAGATGTCGTGTGTGAAGGCCTTTACACACTGGAGGTGTTTTTCCTCTTCGTTCAATTCATTTGAACTTCAATATATTTGTTCAAGCTGTTGTCTTGTGATAATACTTTCACACAGAATGCAAATATTTGGCAAAAAAGCAACACATTTATTTTTCCAGAATGAGGCCACAATTTATAATGTTGGACAAAAATAAAAAGACTGGTTGGTAAACCACATTGTTTCATCAATTCTAGTTTGTCCTATCTTAAATAGCAGTTAAACTACTGTCAATGAAACTTAATAAACATGTGCAATTTTCACTGTAAAAGGAAATAGAGGGATTTGAAAGCTGCTGCAAGGCTTTGAAGTTGAAATATCTGTGGCAGCTTAACCCAGTCTGTTAACACTGCGCTGCTGCTGCTGCACTTCCACAAGTTTCAGTGATCAATAATCAAATTATACGAATAAGATGAGTAATGAATTGAAATGCAGATAAAGGAATTCCTGTGTAACCTGGATTGATCTCCCGGTAGTTCCCGATGCCGTAGGCGTCGACGATGTTCTGGAAGCCTGACGTGAACTTGTTGGTCTTATTGAAGGTAGGTGGAGTCTGCTTTGTCTGCATCCTGTTGAGAATGGACGGCACCGTGGAGCCGCTCCTCTCCTGTCAAATAAAACCCCAATTTATCAGTCACATACTGCCCATGTTGTAAGAGTAAGACCAGAGGCCTCCACACAACCTCATGACTTATATTATTATTATCAGTATTAAAGTCCACCTGAAGTGAATACTCTATACATGTATGTATGTATGCTTGGTGTTTGTTTTGGCTTTGCTACTTGTGATTTGATTTTACAAATCTTTCTGCAATGATACCGCCCAACATTCTTCTCCAATGGAGACGCATTTGTATTTAAAGTTGCAGTGTTGGTACTGTAATTTGATTGGTGCAATCACATTACATTTAAGTGTGCACTTCAAAGAGTGCTGCAGGAATGAGTCCTAACACCCAGAAATGAGTCAGCACCTCCGATTGATTCAGTGTGGTTCTTGAATGGGTGTTTGGTTAAGTGTCTGAAATAAGGTCTGTGGTTCACACAAACTGAATAGATTTATACGTTTTGTTCTAACAAGTGGCTACATAAGACTACCAAACGTCGTCCCTAGAACACCAGTCCACCACAGCTTAGTGGTGGTGAAGTCATGGCCATTACATTCATGCTTCAACAATCATAAAAGTGGTTCATATGTGCAGATTATCTTGCTGAACAAGGCTAGGCTTCCGAGCTTCCACTTTCTGAGTTTAATACAAACGTAAAGGTTCTATATTATATAATTCAGAGAAGAAGATAATTCTGTTTTGTTTTCTTGTTTATTGTAAATTTGTGTTTGCACATTGAGAGCGAAGTGGAAACCGGAGTCAAATTCAATAAAGCTGATTCTGATTCTGAAGTCACTTTCCTTCTGTGTGTGTTGTAATCCCAGATTCTCTGTGCTTTGTTTACATAGCATGTGCATGTTAGTGCATGCTAAATCACAAATCCTGCTATGGCGAAGGCATGACCCACCGTACTCTGCCTCTGATTGGCTGGTACCCGTTGCCTTCGTTGGTTGGGTTGGTTAGGTTTAGGTATGAGGAGTGAGATTGGTTAGGTTAGGTTACTGTTAGTACCGTTAGCTGCTAACTGCCGGCTCAGAAGTCTCTATGTTTAGAGCAACTATGTGGAGGCAACAGATATGCTCTGAACCTTTAACAACACAATGGGTCCTCAAAGATGTTGAATGCTGTAAAAGGACAATCACTAATTGTATAAGGTTTGTCTCTATTATCGATGCCAGAAATGAACACTCTGAGGATTTCTTCAAGTGCAAAACAGTTTTTTTCTCTTTTGAAATGTGAGCAAAATTTACAGACAGAGCGTATCTAAGAACTGCCCTCACCAGATGGGAAAAACAATTGGTCACTCTCCTTTGACTTCTATTGTTTGAAGCTGCCTCCGTGACACTTCTGTCTGCTGGCGAACAATGGAAAAATGCCTGAAAGCTGCTGTGTGGTGGGTTACACTACCAACAGGGTAAAGTACACACAACTAAGTTTTTATAAGCTGCCAAAAGAAATGATGAAATCTGACGATTTTAGCTGGCAAAGGCATTTTGTTCGTGTTTCAGCCGGTGGTTGCATATTGTCTTCACAGTACGGGCTGTATTATCTTCAGAGTTTTCTAATACAAAAGGTGAGGAGACTGTAACACAGCTCAACACTAGCAGAGATGTTCTGGCTGGATACTGACATTTCTCATAATATTGCTGTGTTTAGCAGCACTTGGTCCAATAGAGCTCACAGTAACAGGAAGCAGAGCCACAGGGACAGCGTCAATGAAGTGGACATTTTACTAAACATCTAAAAACATCCTTCATTGTTGCCTATGACTGTACAGATGCAATGTGTGAAGAACAAGAAAAAAGAAATGTGTGTTACCTCTAAGCTACACAACAGTATATGAAATACACAACCAGACCGAAAACCAAACTCACCGTCCCTCTGCGCAGAGCAAACTGGATGGAGTCCAGGTCTGAGACGGGACACCACACCTCAGCGATCAGACACTTCTGGGTGACGTCGATGTTGCACAGGTTGAGCGTGTGGTAGATGGCCTTCATCTTCCTCACCTTGATGAACCACACCCGCATGGTCTTGGAGGCGGCCTGCAGCACTCGCTGACGGTGGTCCTCTGTTTGGTTCAGCACCTGCAGTAGCAGTGTGGGGAGGTTTGTGTTAGACTGTAGATCCCGGTCCTGGCAACACTGGAAATGTGGCCCAAAGACCGCTGGTCTGGTCAGTATTTCTACTTGAATACATTTTATTTTTTTATTGAACTGAAAGCTATTTCTTCACTTTCCGTTTATGGTCCATCTGTGTGTGTTGCATATTGTCATGTTTTTGTGATATGAACATAATGTGAGCTAAACATTTGGAATGTGCAGGATTTGTGAAGTAAACATGTTGACAAACGGTAGAGATTGATTTTACTGTGCTGGCTCCAAGACTCAGGTCCTGTTTATGCACACAATCAGATCTTCCGTGTAAACCTGAGGAAGACGCTCTTTTGTGGCGGCGTGTCATGCATTGTATTTGGTTAGCAGGCTGAGGCCAGAGCAGCCCGCTCAAGCAGAACCAGGCCTTTTTTTCCAGGCTTAATAAGGGCAAACTTTAGGGAAGCATAACACTATGGGACAGGACAAAGGTCTTTCACAGATAAGAACTAATGCACAAGAAAACACTACGAGGGCTTTTGTGATTTGATTGGAAATACATTTTCGAAAGGAAAACTGAACACAGACATCCTGTTGTGTGAAGTTTCTGATTGATTTCTTCTTGTTTAGTGAGCAGCAGTACAACAAAGAGTACAAAGACCCTTTGAAAGAATTATTCAATTCAAAAAAGAACTGCACTGCTAATGGTAATGTGGCCTAAACAATAAGCAGGCTTTACTCCAAGCTCAACCAACTCTACTCTCACTTTACTCGTTTTTAATTTTTGTTAACCTTTTGGGTTATTTATGTGTGTGATGGGAGGTAAAGATCAAGTGACAAACGTACCATCTGGAGGTCGTCGATGCGGCTGTTGACTCCAGCCAGCATCTCCTTCCTCTCCTGTGGGGTCTCTGGACAGGGGTAGAGTGAGGCGCGGAACCTGGGGAACAACACCAGCAGAGTCAGCTCACAGCATGTCACACATACTGTACGTTCTCCATCGTGGTTCCTTCTTTCTTACTCATGTTTATGATGCACATGCTGGAGTTGACACACATCAGGGAGAGGATATTGTTTAAAGGTACTCCAGTGATTTAGGACTTGCACTTAAAACTAGAATTAGCACCTCACAGTTGTGTGCCTCCGCCAACCAGTCAGGTAACAGTTTACATCCATGTCTGTCCAAAATGTCCTCACTTCACCATTTTATCCTGCTACCGGTTTGTGAGAAATTGTCATAATTAGCATATGAATTTGTGAGTTATGCCCAAACAATGTGTTTCGTGAGGTCACAGTGACCACCAAATTCTAATCAGTTGAGTCCAAGTCTGTGTGCCAAATCTTGAGAAAGATACCTCATAGCGTTCCCCAGATTTTGTGTTCCAAAAATAGGACGGACGAGAGGTCAGTGACCTTGACCTCTGACTACCAAAAATATGGCGGATGAACGGACAACCCGAAAGCATAATGCCTCCGTCCGTGGCTGTCGCCGGCGCAGAGGCATAAAAAGAAAGGTCGAAACCGAGGTGGTAAAATATTGAGTTTTACTCCCTAATATGACTCAAGTTCCAAAACCACTGAATCCTACACTTCCCATAATGCAACCAATAGAATATATTTTTTCCTAGACCCTCTCAGCCTGGTAAACACACAGACCTTCTGATATCAATGTGTAGTCTCTACGCCCAGGCCAATGTGACAATCCTGGATGGTGTTGTGTCATTAAGACAAAACCACAGCAGCAACTATGAGCTGCAATTATTCTAATGGCCACTAAATGTTAGCTGTGGCCAGACACAGTCCTGCCCATCTTCCCCTTGTGTTCACAACATTTAACTCTAAAGAGTTCTAAATCCATCCATGTTATTCCTATGGTCTAAGACAGTCCACAATTATTAGTAAACATGAACAACTCTCCCAAATCCAAAAACTAGAGAGCTAAAACTGAAATACTATGTGATGTCATCGAGTATAAAGTGTGGAGCTGCTCCATAGACTATGAATTGGGAGAGATGTCCTTGAGCACCAGGGGAATGCTCTGACTACATGTTACCTTTTCTGTTTCACAGCTGACAGCACTACAATAGAATTAGAACAGACATTGTGTGGGTCTCCCATTCATTGTACACTTTATACTTGATTTGACTTACTTCTCTGGTTTCTGGCCTTGAGAGAGACTAGCTCATGTTCACATTATTGATTAAACATTCCTAGACCATGGAAGTAACATATTGGAATTCTTTATCTAGGTGGTGTTCCCCTTTAACATTAACTTGCATTTCCATTTTTACGGTTATGCCTACATGTATCATGTAATTCATGATTATAGCTAAACTTAACCATAACCACACGAGCCTTAACCCAACCTTCCAAATTGACTTCTGTCCATAAACTGTGGCATCTGGATAAGATAAGATAAAAGAAGATATCTTCCTCTGTAACACTCACCCCTCACAGATCTTCTTCACCCTGTTCTTCAGCTGGTCACCTTGGAAGAAGATAATGAACACTGATTTGGTGACTTGGTCTCCCTGTTGGAAAGAGAAGAAGTTTTGAGAAAATGTACACAACTCACAGATGAGCCGGGTGTCTGTTTCTAATGTAAGTAAAGAAATATACATTATGACACCGTATGAGTGGCATTTTGTATGCTTCTCTGTACTTTTCTTGTCTCTTCACTCATCTCTATGAATGTATGTTGTGTGTGCTGACCGTGGCGGGGTCCTCCAGAGGGTCCTCGATCTCTGCCTTCCTTAGGAAGACGTTACCGCGACACACTCTCCACAGCATCCTCTCAAAGGTCGGGATCCTCTCCCTGCTGATCACTCCGGCCACAAAGCTGCACAGACCACACAGACAAGCGCTCAGAGTGGATAACGCAAAAGGAAAAAGGACCACAGTATGGACATAGTCAGCCTTTTGTGTGGCAAAGAAAACTAATAGTTGTTTAGTTGGCTGATGTATAAACAGTAATATGTTCATTATCTGACATTATTTGATCTTTGGTCAGCAGGCTTGCTAACTAGCTAACTTAGATTATGTATATATAATATATATATATATATGTCATTTTATATATACAGTTATAGTTACAGACTCTCTCCGTCTCGCCACACTCATATTTTGAGTGTTATTCATTTGCCAAAAAAGAGACAAAACGCACAATAAACGAGTTAAAGATTCAACTTTGTCTGTAGATATCCTAACAATACTGTTATCGTGAATCTTTTTGGCCCAGATAATTATGCAGTGAAAATATGATATGGAGACAGCCCTAGTGTGAGCACACGACAAATTTCTTTATTTGAGGACATTCTACTGTCCACCAAAATATGTATTCACGTGCAACGTGTCTTGTGCAATTCATATGACTATTTGCCAAAACAACGTGATAATGTGTGTTGGAGAATATGATGCAGTTGTCGTGCTTTACCCCAGTCTGAGCGGGGCCCCGCGGCCCCCCTCACTGCCCTCCATCAGGGCCGATGACTCCTCCAGCAGGTTGGGATCCTCCATCTACAAAGACATTAGGAAGACCAGATATTTTGATCCATCAATTATCTATTGTGCTCCTGTGTGTGTGTGTGTGTGTGTGTG